GGGGGGGATTGCTGCTGAGATCTTTCCCTCCTCTCTCCTCCCCCCCCACCCACACTTGGGTGTGCTCAGACCACGTGTGCCTCAGCAAATCCCACCTTTTTCTGTCCCCTTCCTTCTCCTAGACCTACACAGGCCCCTTCGTTTATTATGTCAAGTCGTCGTTGCTGGAAGAGGACATCCGAGCCATCCTGCATTACATGGGCTACGTGCCCGAGTTAGGGACTGCGTACAAACTCAAAGAGCTTGTGGAGACCCTCCAGGTGAAGATGGTCTCCTTTGAGCTCTTTCTGGCCAAGGTGGAGTGTGAGCAGATGCTGGAAATCCACTCACAAGTCAAGGACAAGGGCTACTCCGAGCTAGACGTGGTGAGCGAGCGCAAGAGCAGCGCAGAGGACGTGCGGGGCTGCTCGGAGGCCCTGCGGCGCCGGGCTGAGGGCCGGGAGCACCTGACGGCCTCCATGGCCCGCGTGGCGCTGCAGAAGTCAGCCAGCGAGCGGGCGGCCAAGGACTACTACAAGCCACGGGTGACCAAGCCCTCGAGGTCGGTGGACGCCTATGACAGCTACTGGGAGAGCCGGAAGCCGCCCCTGAAGGCCTCGCTGAGCCTGCGGAAGGAGCCGGTGGCTGCAGACCTGGGCGATGGCCTCAAGGACGAGATCATCCGCCCGTCCCCCTCGCTCCTGGCCGTGTCCAGCTCCGCCCACGGAAGCCCGGATGACCTGCCGCCCCCCTCGCCGAACAACGGTCTGGGCCCGCTGCGTGGCACGTACTTCTCCGCTCAGGATGACGTGGATCTGTACACGGACTCGGAGCCGAGGGCCGCGTCCCGGAGGCAGGACGCCCTGCGGCCGGACGTGTGGGTGCTCAGAAATGATGCCCACGCCCCCTACCACAAGCGCTCGCCCCCCGCCAAAGAGTCCGCCCTGTCCAAGTGCCAAAACTGCGGTCTGTCCTGCAGCTCCTCCCTCTGCCAGCGCTGCGACGGCCTGCTTGCCGGTCCCCCGGCCCCCAGGCCCGGCGCCTTCCCCAGCAAGGCCTCTGCCCACGACAGCCTGGCCCACGGGTCGTCTCTGCGGGACAAGTACGCGGGCCAGACTCAGGCCCTCGACCGGCTGCCGCACCTCCACCCAAAACCCAAGCCCTCGGCCACAGCCACCTCCCGCTGTGGCTTCTGTAACCGCCCGGGTGCCGCCAACACCTGCACCCAGTGTTCAAAAGTCTCCTGCGACACCTGTCTCGGCGCCTACCATTATGACCCCTGCTGCAAAAAGAGTGAGCTGCACAAGTTCATGCCCAACAACCAGCTGAACTACAAGTCCACCCAGCTCTCCCATCTCGTGTACAGATAGACTCGACCTTGCACCCCCCTGCTCCAAGGGCTACACCACCGACTTTCTGGGTTCCCCCAGGGAAGAAGTGTTCACGTATTGATCTCGGAAGCAGAGGCCTGCATTTGACCGTGTAGGTGTCAGGGGATCGTGGGGTCGCCCGCACCACGTGCGTTCACCTGGCGACCCAGATATTTCCTTTGATGGCTGCTTTGTCACCTGACAAGGGAGAGGGTGGCACTTCCGTTCAGATTCATTCTTGCTAATCTCTCCACTCCCTATTCCATTGTTTGTTTTTGAAGATTTCTGTCTCTGAGACTCTTGCCACACCCACCCCTCCCACTGCAAAGCCAACTTGGACTGGGAAGGGCCCTCCAGGTCCCCTCCAAACGCCCACCTGGAGCGCCGAGCTAGAGGCCTGTTGGCTTGTGAAATGAGCCCTCCTGCCACACCGGGCCTCTTCCAGTGGCTCATCCCTTGGCCACCCCCTTCCCGGACACAAGGATCCCCTCCTGGACTCCCCGCCCCTGACTTCCACCCGTCTGGGTTTCAAAGGTGGACTGAGTCCGGTATTCACCGAACGGCATCCTGTTGCCACCACAGCTCAGTTCAGCCCGTGGCGTTTGTGCACTTTGCTCCGACGCACTGAAGCGTGGACCGTCCACGGCAGGATGGACTTCTCCCCCTTTCTGTTGTTTGCACATGCCCCTCTTACTGTACTGTAAATAGATATTTTTGAGATTTATTTTTAAATAAATATTCAACTTGCCGTGTGTTTCACAGTGGTTAAAACATTGATCATGTAGCTATTTATACAAATGGCCTGGGTTCTTTAGTCTTCCAAGGGAGGGTCTCCTCCCCTTCCGTGTTGTATCCTACACACACCACAGCCCAAGGGTAGAGCAGAGAGTGTGGGGGCAGAGGAGGAACAGACGATGTCCCAGAATTGGTGGCGAGCCACTGTCTTCCCTCCAATAAATCTCTATATACCTACCTCCAGCATACACTTAGGGGGCTAGTGCGGGCCGGGAGTTCTGTGCACCTGCGGACTGTGATACCCTAGTGACCCTTCAGGAACCTCACCCTGCGGACCTACAGCCTGGTCTTTGCCATTTGCCGCGTGTGAACCTGCACTCCGAACTTCTTGAGTCTCGTTTGAGAAGGAACGTCATTTGGGATCTCCCCGCCCCTCCATCTCGGCCTTCTTCGCCTGTTTCCAGGACTCCTCTGCCACGTCAGTGATCTTTTTGCACTAAAAGTGGGCCCGAGTCAGCGTGTGCCCATCAGACGGACGTCTCCTGAGATGCTCAGCTGAGCCTAAGCGCTTCCAAACCTGAAGGCCCCTTAAACTCCTCCTGTGAATGACCCCTGGATGTTGCTTTTGGGGTGCAGAGCAGGAGTGGGGCAAGAGTTTGAAACTAAAAACCGCTTCCTTGTGAACTAACATATTTTAGCCATACGTGTTTGTGATGTACAGAATATAGGAATTTACGTGCAGTGGGTTTTCTGGTAGAAAGGAGGTGTTTGGCTCTCGAACACATTTAGCTCTGGCTGAATCCTGAGGCCACTGTGAATTTGCTGATGTTCTTCCAATGCAGTGGAGTGATTTTAAGGTTTTCCAAATCTTCTGTGGCTCTTTTTTATATATCTAGTAGAGCACATGTAGATACTCAATGTGTATATACAGCTGAGTTTCAACACCTTTATTACTAAGACCAGCCCATTCTGGGGTCATCATCTTTGATGTTCTTCCTTCCCACGTTTCAGAAGTGTCGATGCCTGTTTTACTCCTGAGAGCTCTAGTTTTCTAGTTTTCCGTTCCCAGATCGCTCCAGCACTACAGGAACTTTTAAGCAACTGTGAGGCCAGGTAGCTTCTACTGGTGGGCAGGAGCAGGAGTGCCCACCTCGTCCTGGGAGAGAAAGTCCGGCACACATGTCATCATGGAGATACCGTGTTTATAGACTGGAATAGGAGATCTCTGACCGTGTCCTTGGCGTGTACCTTACTGTATGAGGTTGCTGTGATTGAGATGGGTAAATACATGCTAATTTAAAAAGATGTTTTGCGATTGATTTCTATCAAGAGTTGAAATGTTGAGAGATGACTCAAAAAAATAATAAAGTGTCTTCCATTATTAAAGTGTTTGGAGTTTTATGTCCCTCCCTCCCTGCTGCTTTTGAAGTTTGGGCTGCTTGGATGGTTTGTTTGTTTTGCTCAAGCTGTATCCTCTGATGACAGGACTCTCATTTTCTCTCCCACAAAACTGATAACTTGATGAGAGCCCCGCTTTCGAGTGCTTACTCTGTGAGCCAGGTACTTTGCATGCTGACTCTTCACATGCGTGATTCCACAGAATAGTCTCCGTCATCCTGTAAACTAGGTAGTGTTACGATCCCCACCTGTAAGATGGGGAAACTGAGGTGTGCCAAGTTCAGCCATGTTTCTTAGGAGTGGGACTACATACTCCAGGAGAAATGATGGTGGTGACTGACAGGCATTAAATAACATTGAAGGACATTATGAAAAAAATTAATTATGTTTTTCTTTCAATCCGTTTAAATGCCTTAAGGAGAAAGTCCATTTAATGCTAGCTTGTCTTTACCAAAGAGGAAGCAGGTGTTAGGCTCGGAGCCTTAGGCAGAGTCTTAGCTAGGCGTTCCGTTACCTTCTGTCTGGAGCAGGCCGTACTGCTTTTCCATCTACAGCAATGACAAGAGATCACTTTAAAAATCAACTTAAGTGTTTTTCAAAAGGAGGGTTTGCAAGACACATGGCAAAGATCTTGAGGGTGGTAGAAGAGCAGCTGTGATTTGGGACATCCTGGCTTCTTAAATTTTTTTTTTTAATGTTTGTTTATTTTTGAGGGGGGGGAGGGGCAGAGAGAGAGGGAGACACAGAACCCGAAGCAGGTTCCAGGCTCCGAGCTGTCAGCACAGAGCCCGACGTGGGGCTCGAACCCACGAACCGTGAGATCATGACCTGAGACGAAGTTGGACACTTAGCTGACTGAGCCACCCAGGCGCCCTGGGACATCCTGGCTTTTGGTAGCAGCAGGGTCTCTGCATGACGGTGACCACTGCTGGGTCGGCCCCTACAAGGCCCCTCAGCGGTCAGAGAATAGCAGGTTTCTCCATTTCGTGCGCCGGTGAACAAATAATCCAGGCCTCGGGCCAGACCGAGGCCCAAGAGCTGGGTTGGGTTTTAGCTGCAGCCCAGGAAATGGCACCGCCAGGAAGAGCGGCTTCCTAGAGACGCGCACCTAGCCTGGGAGAGCGGAGGAAGCCAGACACTTGCTGCTGCGCCCGGAGCAGAGTGGTGGCTTCAGAGCAGATTGCTTAATCTGTGTATGTAAACGACAAGCATGTTTAACATCATCGTGCCCGCCCGCTGCCCAGTAGCCCTGCTGCCCGCTTCGAGCACCGATCTGTGGCACCCCGCCCGCCCGATTACCAGTCTCAGAGAGAGAGAGAAGAGCTGTGGCAGACGCTTTGAGTTGAACCCCTGTCTCCTCCCACCCTTTCTCCCTTGGTAATAGAAGCCCCGATTTTTAGGCACATGGCCATCCAGGGTAAAGACTGCCTTCCCCAGCCGCTCCTGCAGCCAGGCGTGGTCATGTGGCCGTGCCTGGGCAGTGGGACGGAGAAGTGGTTCGTGTGGCTTCTCAGACATGTCTTTGAAGGATCTTTTCTTCTTCCCACCCGAGCCTCCTTCCTGGTTGGAATGGAGCGGCCCAGTGAGACTCTGAGGCGGAAGCCAAGTGATGAGGGAGGGGTGGTTGGGAGCGGCTGGGTCCCTGATGCTTAAGAAGCCGCCATCATAGCCAGCCTGCCCTGCCTACCTCCAGAGTTTTTATGTAAGAGAGGAATGAGCCATTATCTTGCTTAAACGCCACCCCCCTCCCCCGGCCCATATTCTCATTTAAGAAACCATCTTATTTACAAAAGAGGTACAAATGAACCCAGCTTCCATGATTTAACAGCTACCAACTTGTGGCCAACCTGGTTTCCTTTTTACCTGTCCATCCACTTCCCTCCTAAATTCCTTTGAAGGAAATTCCAGACATCTGCTTCAGTGGAATATTTCCGTATGTGTCTCTAAAAGACAGGGGACTTTTTTTTTTTTTTTCCAACGTTTATTTATTTTTGGGACAGAGAGAGACAGAGCATGAACGGGGGAGGGGCAGAGAGAGAGGGAGACACAGAATCGGAAACAGGCTCCAGGCTCTGAGCCATCAGCCCAGAGCCCGACGCGGGGCTCGAACTCACGGACTGCGAGATCGTGACCTGGCTGAAGTCGGACGCTTAACCGACTGCGCCACCCAGGCGCCCCGACAAGGGACTTTTAAAACACCATACCATTATCACATCTAAATTTTTATAATTCTTTAATAGCGATAGGCAGTCAATGTTCTGATGTCCAGTTGTATAAATTCATATTAAAAAATTGTTTTTTAACGTTTATTCATCTTTGAGAGACAGAGAGAGACGGAGCATGAGCGGGGAAGGGGCAGAGAGAGGGAGACCCAGAATCCGAAGCAGGCTCCAGGCTCCGAGCTGTCAGCACAGAGCCCGACGCGGGGCTCGAACTCACGAACTGCAAGATCATGACCTGAGCCGAAGTTGGACGCTTGACCGACTGAGCCACCCAGGTGCCCCTAAATTCATATTTTAAAAACAGTTTGTATCAGGGCTCAAATAAGGTCTCCTCCACATTGCATTTCGTGGATAGACCTTTAAATCACCGTTACCCTCAAAGCTGTTCCTGTAGAGTATAGGGACCCTATCTTTCTCTTTTTTTTCCTTGAAATGTTTTTGTCAAGCTGGATTTTTAGTCCTTTAGAGTTCGCTAGAGTCTGCACTTTGCCGATTGCAGCTCCCACTGTTGTTTAACATGTTCCTCTGTTCTCTCCATCTCCAGAGTAGGTGGCTCTTTTTTTTTTCTCTCTTCCTTACTGTTTATTTGCTGCACATTGCACAAAAGTAAAAAAATAAACATTTCTTATGGCTATGGAGCGGGGCTGCAGGTCCATAAATAAGGAATTGAAAGGAAATAACTTAAGGAAGGATGAGGCCTGGTGCATACAGAAGGTCTGGGTCCCGGACGGGCTGGGGTCGGGTCCAGGTTTTCAGACGCACAGGTCTCCACCGGTGACACACTTCAGGTCCCGCGTGAGGAGGCGGAAGAGGTTGAACGTGACGGAGGCCTCGAGGCATCCCCGGGACTCCTCTGGGGCCCTCTGGAGCCGGTGCAGCCAGTGGTGCAGGCGGCCACGGGGTCTGGGTCCTGCCGTGGGCTGAGCCCGGACACAGGCCTGGAGCTCGGAGCGGATGTGGCGCAGCACACGAAGGGGCTGGTCCAGGACGACGCCCAGGGATGAGTCGGTCATGTTCCCCAGGACCTTCAGCGTCAAGTCTAGTTCAGCCTCCAGGGCCGCAGGGCGCTCCCAGGCCTGCAGTCGAATCAGGTCCCTGGTCCTGGGGAAGAGGCGAGAGCCACAGCTCCAGTTCTTCAGCGGGAGTGACTCTTCTAAGGCGTCCCTGGCCTTCTTGAAGGCTTCTAGCTCCCTCGGCGACAGAGATGGGAACTTGCCCACGTGGCAGCCCCTCCTGGTTGCGGGGGGCCTGGAAGTGGGGACAGGGCCCGCGCTGGTCAAGCCCAGCACCGCGGTCACCAGCACCACAACCCAAGCTGGAGCCATGGCCCGATCTCGACTGCTTCCCCGGCCGCATGGCTCCGCTTTTAGCCAGGCTCGCTGGGCAATCCCAGCTGATGTATGTAAAGTGAAAAGGCAAGTGGAAATTGGAATCTCCACTGGGCCTGAAAAAGCCTAAGTAGGCGGAGCTAGTCGCTGAAGCAGGTGAGCACGTGGGTGTGGGTGAGGCTGGCCGCCTGAGCCGCAGAGAAAGGGCATCCGACGAGTCCCTTCCCTGGACTTGTGCCGAGAAGGAAAGAGAAACTGAAATTCCCTCGTAGGAGAACGCCTTGTTTCTGAGAAGTCCAGTGTCTGGACAACCGCGTTTAGGACTCTCTGGGGCAGCCTTCAGCTGACTGTGGGGAGCCCCTTACCGAGGCCGAGGAAGGTGCCGGGGCGAGGAGTGTGGGCGAGGGTGCCTGAGCGGCAGAAGTGGCTTCCCTTTGAAGGCAGTCTTCGTTTGCTGTGGTCCCATTTGTGTACTTTTGCTTCTGTTACCCGTGCTTTTGGTGTCACATCCAGGAAATCATTGCCAGATTCACTGTCATGAAACTTTTCGCTGTGTTTTCTTCTAGGAGTTCTATAGTTTTAGATCTCACATTTAGGCCTTTAATCCGTTTTGAGTTAAGTTTTATATGTGGCGTAAGGTAAGGTCTAACTTCAGTCTTTTGCGTTTGGATCTCCAGTTTCCCCACCACCATTTGTTGAGACTGTCCTTGCCCTATTGTATGTTCTTGGTACCCTTGTTGAAGCTCATTTGATCATATATGCGAGGGTTTATTGGGCTCTATTCTGTTCCATTGGTCTTTAAGTCTATCTTTATGCCAGTACTACAGTTTTTTTTTTTATTTATTTTTTTAAGTGTTTATTTATTTTTGAGAGACAGAGACAGAGTGTGAACGGAGGAGGGGCAGAGAGAGAAGGAGACACAGAATCCGAAGCAGGCTCCAGGCTCCGAGCTGGCAGCACAGAGCCCAACGCGGGGCTTGAACGCACTGCAAGATCATGACCTGAGCCGAAGTCAGACACTTAACCGAACTGAGCCCCCCAGGCGCCCCCCAGTACTACAGTATTTTGATTACTGTAGCTTTGTATATAATATGTTTTGAAATCAGGAAGACTGTTTCAACTATTCAGGGTACCCCCTTGAGATCCAGTATAATTTTTTTTTTTTTTTTTTTTTTTTTTGCCTTTTTAAACTGTGGGAAAAAAAGCAAAAGAAGAACAATATTTCATGACATGTGGAAATTACATGAAGTTCAAGTTTCAATGTCCATAAATAAAGCTTTGTTGGAACCTAGCCATGCTCATATCTGTGGCTGCTTTCAGGTTACAGCAGCAGAGTTGAACAGTTGTGTGGCCCTCAAAGCTGGAAATATTTGTTATCAGTCCCTTTATAGAAAATGTTCCCTGACCTATGGTCTGAAAGTCCAAGGCCAGTGGTCCCAGACCCAGCTGCTACTCTGGGAGAATCATGGACGATCTGGTTGGTGCATGATGGCCCCACTCTCTACTTTCTTCTCCAGCTCACAATACAGATAAATAATATTTCATTTTCTTCCAACATCTTCATATCAGCTCTGTGGTCATACTGTGACAAGCCTGTGACAAGTTGTGAAAAGCAATTTCTCAGGGAAGAGGAGGAGTTCCTCTCCCCCCACCAGCTTTTTCTTTTTAAATTTTATTATTTTTTAAAATTTACATCCAAGTTAGTTAGCATATAGTGCAACAATGATTTCAGGAGTAGATTCCTTAGTGCCCCTCACCCATTTAGCCCATCCCCTCTCCCATAACCCCTCCAGTAACCCTCTGTTTGTTCTCCATATTTAAGAGTCTCATGTTTTGTTCCCCTCCGTTTTTATATTATTTTTGCTTCCCTTCCCTTATGTTCATCTGTTCTGTGTCTTAAAGTCCTCGTATGAGTGAAGTCATAGGATATTTGCCTTTCTCTGACTAATTTCACTTAGCATAATACCCTCTAGTTCCATCCATGTAGTTGCAAAAGATTTCATTTTTTTTTACTGCTGAGTAATACTCCATTGTGTGTGTGTGTGTGTGTGTGTGTGTGTGTGTGTGTGTGTGTATACACACCACATCTTCTTTATCCATTCATCCATCGATGGCCATTTGGGCTCTTTCCATAATTTGGTTATTGCTGAAAGTGCTGCTATAAACATTGGGGTGCATGTTTCCTTTGAAAACAGCACACCTGTATCCCTTGGATAAATGCCTAGTAGTGCAATTGCTGGGTCATAGGGTAGTTCTATTTTTAGTTTTTTGAGAACCTCCACACTGTTTTCCAGAGTGGCTGCACCAGCTTGCATTCCCAAGATCCAGTATAAATTTTAGGACCATTTTTTTCTAGCTCTGCAAAAATGCCATTGGGATTTTGACAGGGATTGCATGGAACCAGTAGGTTGCTTTGGGTAGTATGGACACTGTTATAATATGAAGTCTTCCAACCCATGAACACAAAATATCTTTCCATTTATTTGTGTCTTCTTTAATTCCTTCCAGTAACGTTTTATAGTTTTCAGGGTACAAATCTTTCACTTCCTTGCTTGAGTTTATTCCTAATGATTGTATTCTTTTTGATGCTGTGAATGGGATTGTTTTTATAATTTCATTTTCAGATTTCTCATTGTGTATGTATAGAAGGCAACTGATTTTTTTTTTAATGTGCTAGTTTTGTATCCTGCAACTTGGTTGAATTCATTTATTCTAACAGGTTTCATGTGTGTGTGTGTGTGTGTGTGTGTGAAATCTTTAGGGTTTTCTACATAGAAGATCTTGTTATCTGAGAATAGATGCAATTTTATTTGTTTCTTTCCAATTGGGATGCCTTTTATTTCTTTTTCTTACCTAATTGCTCTGGCTGACTTCCAGCACTGTGTTGAACTCAAGTGGCAAGAGTAGGCATCCTTGTCTTGTTCCTGATATTAGAGGAAAAGCTTTCTGTCTTTTACCATTGGGTATGATGTTCACTGGGACACATAGGTTTTCTTTTTTTTTTTAATTAAAACAATTTTTTAATGTTTATATTTGAGAGAGAGAGAGTGCGAGCAGGGGAGGGGCAGAGAGAAAGGGAGACACAGAACCTGAAGCAGGCTCCAGACTCTGAGCAGTCAGCACAGAGCCCGAAGCAGGGCTCGAACTCACAAACTGTGAGATCATGACCTGAGCTAAAGTCGGATGCTGAACCGACTGAACCACCCAGGCGACCCAGACACATAGGTTTTCATATGTAGCCTTTATTATGTTGAGGCAATTTCTTACTATTCCTACTTTGTTGAGTATTTTTATCATGAAAGTGTTTTGAATTTTGTTAAATGCTTTTTCTCTGCATCGACTGAGGTGACTTTTTTTGTCTTCCATTCTATTAATGTGGCATATCTCATGGTAGTTGACTTTTGAGGCTTGCTCAGATTTGGTGTGAGTTTTGGGGATGTTGTATTCTTTCATCAGGAGGCACATGATGTTGAATTCTCTCCCTTTGGGAGAGTAACAGCCATTAGGACTGTTTCGTCCTCAGACCAGTCATTTCATTGGAAGTTGCAAAATGTAGATATTCCCATGCTAGTATCCCTTCTTTGTTTGGCAACTGGGATACTTCTATAAAAAGAAACTTCCTTGTGGTGGTGTGAATCTACATGTGTGATAAAATTGTATAGAACTAAATACACACACTCTCACACTAGTGCATGTAAAACTGGTACAGTGTGAACAAGATGTGTGGCTTGCTCCAATGTTAGTTTTCTCATTGTGATACTGTTCTGCAGTTGTGCAAGATGTCACCACTGAGGAAACTGGGTGCAGGGTACTGGGACCTTTTAGTATTATTGTTTCACAACTTCCTGTAAATTTATGATCATTTTTTTAAAAAGAAAATGAAACTTCTTTCAGCCAGTATTTGACTACCAGTAGTCTAGTTTAAGCGAGATCAACGCTTAATTATTTGCCTTTATTACCATTTTTTTTTTAACATTTATTTATTCTTGAGACAGAGAGAGAGAGAGAGAGAGCATGAACAGGGGAGGGTCAGAGGAAGAGGGAGACACAGAATCTAAAACAGGCTCCAGGCTCTGAGCTGTCAGCACAGAGCCCGACGCGGGGCTCAAACCCACAGACCGTGAGATCGTGACCTGAGCCGAAGTCGGACGCTCAACCGACTGAGCCACCCAGGCGCCCCAATTATTACCATTTTTTTAGTAAGCTTAAGGCCCAGCGTGGAGCTTGAAGTGATGACCCTGAGATCAAAAGTCAAGTCATGGGCCAGCCAAGTGCCCCTCTTTGCCTTATTTTTACTTAATGAGCTGATGCCTTAGAATCCCCCAACAGCGACTGATTTTTTTAAAGTATGAACTCACTGATTTCAGTATGTTTTAAATATTTCAGTCCTATACATTATTGTTATTGGTGCTCAGATGCCTGTGTTTGGCCAGTAGGGACCTCTTCCAGTCCTTCCTGAATCCTTTTGACTTGACCCTGAAACCTTTGATTGCTTCCACTCTCTGGTAGGACAGGGTGCTCCAAGTTCATCTTGCACATTTCCTCCCCAGGTCCTGGAATCACGTTTCTCCAGAGAGGGGTCCTGTCACTGTGAAGTGACATTTGGAGACCACGGTCTGAGAGCTAGGGATGCTCACTGCCACTGGGCTAGTCATTGCTTCTTGGTCTTTTTTATGAGCAGAGTTTACGTTCTTTCCAGAACAAAATATGTCATAAGATCACACTTCTACTTTAAATTAAAATTCAGGACTATAGGATTTTTACTTAACCTCATCAGTCTGTTTTCCCCATGCTAAGAATCCTGGTTCTCAGGGACTCCAGGAAAGCCATCACGGATTTTAATTTCGCCACCTATGACGAGACCTAATGTTGACTGAGAGGAGGGAGTCATGGTGTGGGGTGGCCCCTTGGAGCGAGTCTCAGTTACACACCCCTCCCCTCTACTGAGTGGGGCATGACAGAGGCTCTGGTTTGCAACTTCACAGGTAGGGTTCACT